CTCCCTATAGGGAAAACCCCTAAAAAAAAAAAAAAAAAAAAGGAAGGGCGGGACCAGCAGATGGCTTACTGGTTATGTCACTGGACTCCCACATAGTCGACCACAGTTCAAATCCTGGACCTGGTTGCTTAAAACTCATGCCAGGCACATGTGCATGCATTCACAAGACCCCGAGAAGAGAGTAGAGAAGGGAATGCGGGGTGGCCATTCCCCTGGGGGAGTGATTTCTCGCTTTCTGTCTCTCTGGCGAGCACACATGTCCTATAGAAAAAAAATCTCTATAAATAAATAAATAAATAAATAAGAGGGCTGGGAGGGTGGAAAGTGCTGCTGAATTGAGAACCTCCAAAGAACTTAGATCGCCTGGCAGAGGAAGTCTACTAGGCAACCCACTACATGAAGCTTGAGGCTGTCCTGTGGTGAGAATGGAGCCTTCCGAGCTGACAGCTTGGGGCTCCATCCTCTCATCATCTCTGCAGGCCAGGCCCTCCCTGTTGTGCAGACAGGTCTTTCACCTTCCCCTTTGGACATCATTTTTGTTTTGAGGTTAGAGCTAGAGGGTGGGTGCCAAAAGATAGAATGATGTATCTGTGGCTCAGTGGTGTGCGAAGCACAATTCCAGTTTATGCAAAAGTAAAGTCACAAGAGCCAGCACTTACACCAAAGCTGCCAGGAAAACGTCGCTGGTGCCATTCCTTCGCCCCCTACTCCTCTCTGGGATTCTACTTCCCTAAAATAAATGGGAAACAACCATGGAGGAACGTGTGTTATCTGTTGTCTACCTGAACAAGTAAACTTCCAGCCTGCTGCTGCCTTATATTAAAACATGGCGTTTGATTTAAACCATCAAGTCCCTGGTGGTTTAAATAGTCGAAATAGCTTTGCATTCATTTTGGCTTCTGAACAGATACCTTTAATTTTTGTATGTGATATGAAATTCCTGACCTCCTAAAGATTGGGCTAAGAACTAATAGTTTCTTTCTTTCTTTCTTTCTTTTTCTTTTTTTTTTTTTAGAGAGAGATTTTTCGCATGTGCTTACCAGACAGAGAGAGAGAAAGCAA